TTTGGTGGGCCCAGGCGGGATTTGAACCCGCCACCTTAGGTGTATGTGGCTGGCGCCTTAGCCACTTGAGCCACAGGCACCGAGCCAGAAGCATCTTTTGGCATGATACTATAAAACCTGATTTGCTGCTTCTCATTGTAGGACACCTACTTCCTGAGCTCAGAAGAGTGCATCACTGCCGGGGACTTCCAGAACAAGCATCCCAACATTTGTCGGCTCTCTCCGGATGGGCATTTTGGATCCAAGTTTGTTACTGCAGTGGCTACAGGTATAAATAGGGACCGTTACTGCTTTGTTAATATTTTCTGTTCCTGGGTGGCACCTAAGGCTCAAGGAGTAGGGTGCTGGCCCCATATACCGGTGTGGAGGTGGGTGGGGAGGGTGGGTTTAAGCCCAGCCCTGGCCAAAACTGTAAAAAAAATATATATATTTTTTCTGTTCATAGGCCATGTGCAGTGGCTCACACCTGTAATCCTAGCACTCTGGGAGGCCTAGGCGAGTAGATTGCCTGAGCTCACAGGTTCAAGACCAGCCTGTGCCAGAGCGAGACTTCATCTCTAAAAATAGCTAGGCCTTGTGGCAGGCACCTGTAGTCCTAACTACTTGGGAGGCTGAGACAGGAGAATCATTTGAGCCCAAGAATTTGAGGTTGCTGTGAGCTGTGTCTCCATGGCACTCTATCAAGGGTGACAAAGTAAGATTCTGTCTCAAAAAGAAATTTTTTTTTTCTATTCCTTTTTCTGTAGCTTTTTATCTTTAACTTAATTATATTGCATTTTCTCCATGGGGTGTGTAGGCTATGGATTCCTCCTTCTGTTTTATGGTAGAATTCTGAAGTAAACAATGTCATCACCAGAATAGACTTCAGCTTAGTGCTCCTCATGCTTGGTGCTCCTGTCCCAAGCCCGGGTGAATGCTTAGGGTTTTTGATTTGAGCTCTGGGGTCTGCCTATGGGCTTTTCCAATAATCAGAGATGACTCTGATGTCTCTGTGCAGGAGAAGAGGGATTTAATGTTTCTATAACTTATTTATTTATTTTTTCTGTAAATTATTTATTTTTGACATCATGAATAGAACTGTCTTTTTTTCACTTTGAGTCTTTTATTGTCAACCTTGGTAGAATGCCGTGACCTCACAGCTCACAGCAACCTCAAACTCTTGGGCTCAAGTGATTCTCTTGCCTCAGCCTCCCGAGTAGCTGGGACTACAGGCACCCACTACAATGCCTGGCATTTTTTTTTTTTTTTAAGACATAGGCTCTCACTGGTCTCAAACCTCTGAGCTCAAGCTATCCACTTGCCTCGGCCTCCTAGAGTGCTAGGATTACAGGTGTGAACCACTGCACCCGGCCTATTTGTATTGCTTTTTTTTTTGTAGACAGAGACTTAAGTTGTTGCCCTGGGTAGAGTGCCATGGCATCACAGCTCACAACAACCTCCAACTCCTGGGCTTAAGTGATTCTCTTGCCTCAGTCTCCCAAATAACTGGGACTACAGGCACCTGCCAGAATGACCGCCTATTTTTTTTGTTGTAGTTGTCATTGTTGTTTAGCAGGACTGGGCTAGGTTTGAACCTGCCATCCCCGGTATATGTGGCCAGCGCCCTAGCCCACTGAGCTACGGGCGCTGAGCAACGAATAAGAATTTTTAAGTTGCAGAACCAACTTATGAAAATGTAATCTATTTGGTTTTTTTGTTTATTTGTTTTTGGTTTTTTTTGAAGTACTATCACTCTGTCACCCTTTGTAGAGTGCCGTGGTATCAGCTCACGGCAATCTCAAACTGTTGGGCTCAAAAATAAAAAAAAAAAAATATGTTATTTATTTTACATATGCATTAGTTAAGTCAAATTTATTTTCCTAAACTGTTGTTTAGGTCAGGTTTGGAAGGGAATGGTTGAAGTTTAGACTTGGATTGGAGGAGGCAGTGATTTTGTACTCTAGTATCCTTGGCTGAGGGCTGACTGGGCTGGCAGGTATCTGGAGAATATCAGTGTGGGGACCCTGGACACCAGGAGGGACAGAGGAGAAGTACGTTTTATGGAATTCAGAGTTTTGCCAAACCAGCACTGTATTTGAAAAAGGGGGAGAAATTGACTCCTTCTTATATCACATGACAGCCGTCTCGAGTAGGCTGATAGGTCTTGGTATAGTAGGTTAGGTGGCTAGTTTTGAAACCAACAGACTTAGTCCCCTTTTTTAGAACCTTTTGTGGGCTAGGCATCTGTATCTCAGTGGTTAGAACACCAGGGGTGGCGGGTTTGAACCCAGCCTGGGACTGCTTAACAAAAAAAAAAAGTCTATTCAAAACCTTTTGTGACATCCCTTACCTTACCATGTAGATTAAAAAAGAAAAAAAGATGTATTGATAATATAGCCTGCATACACATGTATTTCTAAAAAGGAAGCAAAGTAGTAGCGTCATTATATAATGGAAAAATAATAGGAAAAATGTATAATGAAGCTGTCCATTTTTGTGTATAAATGCCTGGGGTCTGACTCATGTTGAGGACAGTGCTGTAAAGGGCCATTGCTGTGTGTAGGTGTGTGGGTGGGGGTTCAATGTGGCGCTCGTAGCAGGTCACTCAGAGCTTTGCCATTAGTGATGTGTTTCCCATGGTGCTCAGCAGTTTCTGCCCCTTGGGGGTTGTGGGGTCCTGTGGAGCTGTTGGGAAATGCCACAGCAAGGTTGGGTCCTGGGTTTGGGGAAGCACAGACTTTTGGTTCCCTCCCTATGGCTGTCACCTGTTAGCAGGATGTGGTCTGAGACTAGCAGAAAGGGCCACAGAGAAGATACTTGACTAGTAAACAGGCCTTGGCAGCCAGCCATTGACCCTGCCTTGTCCTTTTAGAAACTGGCTTGTCCACTCCTTCACCTTTGGTGGTAGCTTGGCCATCAGGTCTCATTTCTGGTAATGTTTTTGAAAGTCATATGGACTAAATTTCTGTGTTATGATCAGTAAATGATTCCGTTTTTGTCAAATTGAAATAAAGATATTGAAGGTTACTTTTTCTCTCAAGCCATAAAAAATAATGAGAATGGAGTTGTAATGCTGTCATCCTGATGCTGGATGCACATCATGCAGTGATGACTGTGGCCACGTTCCCTGTCTTGTATTAGTTCCTCTGAAGGTTCTGGTTGCCCTGTACGGCTTTGCCCACCCTCCTCATTTTAGTGTGGAGGAATTACCATGTGATGGAATTGTGGCAGGCATATGGTGCCAGCCAGACCCCACACCATCAGAGCCTGTGCTGGGTGACATTGACTGCATGCAGTGCCTGTGCAGGTTTCTGTAAGGTAGAGATGGTTGTGAGTACAATACTACCACTAGTATTTTATTTGTTTATTTATTTATTTATTTATTTATGAGACAGAGCCTCTAGCTGTCCCCCTGAGTAGAGTGCTGTGGCATCACAGCTCATAGCAACCTCGAACTCCTGGACTCAAGCGAGTCTCCTGTCTCAGCCTCCCAAGTAGCCACAACGCCCGGTTATTTTTTGGTTGCAGCCATCATTGTTGTTTGGCGGGCCAGGCTGGATTCGAACCCGCCACCTTAGGTGTACGAGGCTGGCGCCTTAGCCACTTGAGCCACAGGTGCTGAGCCTATTTGTTTATTTTTTAACCATTTATTTATTTAGAGATAGAGTCTCACTTTGTTGCCTTGGATAGAGTGTCGTGACCTCATAGCTCACAGCAACCTCAGTCTCTTGGGTTCAGGTGATCCTTTTACCTCAGCCTCCCAAGTAGCTGAGACTACAGGTGCTTGACACCATCCCGCCTTGGCCTCCCAGAGTGGTAGGATTACAGGCCTGAGCCACCGCGCCCAGCCAGTGGACTGTTATTTTTGTTAATCGTTTGTCTTACTGTTCTGCCACCCTCTCCTGTTCCCTGTCCCTGTGTCCAGATGAATTTATCTACCCAGCTTCACCACCATTCCCTTAAGAATAAAGGCTTGCTGCAATATCGTGTTTATTGTTTAGACCCTTGGTGTTACTAAAAACCAAAAGCCTGAGTTCTTGATGACACTAAGCATAGCTTTGAGGGTGGAGGTTACAGAGAATGTTTAATGTCTCAATTTTCTTTTTTTATTTTTATTATTTATTTATTTATTTATTGAGACAGAGTCTTAAGCTGTCTCCCTGGGTAGAGTGCTGTGGTGTCACAGTTCACAGCATCCTCCAACTCCTGGGCTTAAGCGATTTTCTTGCCTCAGCCTCCCAAGAAGCTGGGTTTATAGGCGCCCACCACAATGCCTGGCTTTTTTTGTTGCAGTTTGGCTGGGGCCAGGTTGGAACCCACGACCCTCAGTATATGGGGCCAGCGCCCTACCCACTGAGCTACAGGTGCCACCCAAGGTGTGGCTATTTTTAAATTGTAGTTCTCATTGTTGTTTGGCAGGCTCAGGTTGGATTGAAACCTGCCAGCTCTGGTGTATGTGACTGGAGCCCTAGCTGTTTGAGCTATAGGCACTGAGCCAAATCTCAGTTTTCTATTTTGAAGGAATATGCAGCAATCCAGCA